CAAACACATGAAAAACGGAACCAGAGTTGCTGGGAAGCCTTTCCTGAATTCCTCACTGAAAGGCATAATCCGTGAGCATACTGAAACAATTCTTTCAAGCCATCAAGTTTGGAGGGAAATTTTCTGCTGCAACAGTAATTGAAACAACCACACACAAAATACATATGAGTATGCGTGTGTGTGTGTGTGTGTGTGTACATATCTGTTAAAAGGTGATTCCCTATGGAAAAGACGAGAGAACAAGGTGAGGGAACAAGGTGTAATCCTGGGGTGGTGCATGACAAGATTAGACAGGGTCATGGAAGGTCTTACAGGGAGGTGACTCTTGTGAAAACTTCACAGAGGTTACCACGGGGATATTGGCATGAAGTGTCCTAGGCAGAGGACACAGTGCCAAGGCAAAAGCAACTGTGCTGACATATTTGGAGACTATGAAGAGGTCATCGTGGCTGGAGAGACATGAGCTGGCTGGTAGGGTAGGGCAATAGGAGATGCAGTCACACAAGTCACCAGTCATTGCCAGGACTTTGGTTTTTAACTCTGCAGGGCAATGGCATGATGTCACTGAGAAGAAGAGCACTGAAGGAGCATGAGTGGGTGCCATGTTTTGAATGAGGATGCAACCTGAGTGGTGGAAGGCACTGGGTACCGGATATGCTTCATGCTTTATATTGGTGGGATGCAGGGCACGAAAGAAAGAAGAATCAAGGATGACCACACACTTGGGGCCTGAACAAAGAGGAAATACTAAGTTGCCACCAGCTGACATGGGCAAGGATGTGGGTAAAAGCAGATTCATTGAGAGGATGAGGATCTCAATGATCTTCATTGAGTGGAGAGCATCTCTCTCCACTCAGGAGGTGGAGCAGGTAGGTAGAGACACAAACCTGGGGTTCAGAAGAAGGATGTGGGCTAGCATGTAGAAGGTGAGCGTCACCAGCTCAGAGTGGTATATTTTAGTCTTAAGAGCTGGGAGAGAGAATGTGGAAAAGGGAAAAGACCTGAGCCCAGAGCCCTGGGACTCCCCATCAGCACAAGGTCAAGAGAGAAAGAGGGAAGCAATGACCAGCAAGGAAGGAGGAGGCCAGGGGGTCAGAGAGACCAGGTGGGGAAGACAGAGGGAGCCACAAGTGCTGAGCTGGGCTGAGAACGGACCCTACAACTTAGCAATCCAGTGTCACTAGTGACCTCGACAAGTGCAGTTCTGGCTCAGGGAATGGTGGCCTGAAGGAATGGTGTCTGAGAAAGAGGGAAGAAACTGAAAGTAGCAAGTTATTTCACTATTTCTGAAGCTAAATGGTGCAAAAAAATGGGGAGTAGTTAATTGACTAGGGAGGACTGGGGGGTCAGGGTCAAGAGGCTTTGCTCTTATGGAGAAACAACTGTGTTTCTATACTGATGGCAACTGCGGTGGCAGACTGCACAGGAAAGGCCATCTAGACTGGTGCCCACGAGGAAAGAGGGGAAGGGTTCCCTGCACCAGAGCAGGGACTGGTTTTAGGTAGGCACGTGAGCTGTTCATCCACACTAACAAATGAAAAGCGGCGAGGGAGGGGGACACAGACACTGCACCTGTGGAAGTCCTTTCTGCAGACTTCCCTTTTCCCAGTGAACCAGGAAGCTGAAGGGGTGGGTATCCTGGAGTTTGAGGAGAGGAGAAATCATCATTCAGGAGAATGATAGGGTTCGGCCTGACAGCTTCAAGGGTTTGTGGTCACCAAGACTGTGTGTCTTTCTCAATCATCACCCACATTCAGTTGCACGGTACAGGCACAGAATAGTTGAAACGTGAACCTAACCAAGGTTTTTGTCACATGAGTGGGATGGAGCAAGAAGATTACCCTCTGTTTGCCTTTGATTAAACCTGAGTGTATGGAAGGACAGAGGGCACTCTCAGGCACCCTGTGCCTCTCTGGGCGTGTCTAAGTGTCCTGCAGTTATCAGTGACCACAGAGGGGGGAGGGGTCCTGGGTTTTCTGGGTCTTCCCATTTCTGCATGTATTCCTATGTATGAGAGTTGCTGACAGAGCCTCTGTAAGCATGCACAACTCTCTAAGCAAGTGTTTTTCTGTGTGGACCTGTGTCTCTCTGTATGTGGATCTCTGTTCCTGCAGATATTTGTCTGTGTGACTTTGGATGGTGGAGGGGGGCGCCATATGTATGTACTCTGTGTGTCTTTGCACACCTGTGTCCACACATCTGTGTATCTGTGCAGTCTCGATGCATGGTATGGGTCTCTGCAGATCTGTGTGTGTCTCCCCTCAGGTGCTACGATGTGGGACTGTCAGATGTCATCCATGACCCCTTGCCCTGTCCAGATTTCTGTCACCTCCCTGCCCACCTGTGATGAGTTGCACCAAGAAGGGTAGGAGAAAGCCTTAGCCCTTTGAGAAAACTGCACTCAGAGACACAAGATTTGTGTGGGGAGGTGTTTGTGTGGGAAGGTTGGTCTCTTTTCCCAGAATCCCCAAGACTCAAGGCTTGGGGAGAATCCAAGACCTTTACTCTAAGCACATTGACAATGGGTTCTGCTCTGAAAAGCAAAACAATAGCCAGTGTTAGAGGGGGAAAAGAGAGTTCATGCTAAAAACCACAGACCAGCAATGGTTCTGACAGCCTTTAGCTTGGAGGGGTGGGCTCAGACAGGAGCTGATCCGGGCCATCACCTTCATCTCCAAAGCTGGGCCAGTCCCCCAGCCGAGAATGGCCTTCCAGGGAGAAGCAGTGGGGAGACAGTGGCCCCAGGTCAATGGGCCTACAGTTAATCATTCACCAGGGGAACACCAGGGTCCCATTGGCTGCCTAGGGACACAGCCCTCTGGGATGAAGCCCAAAGGGATTGAAAGCAGTTTCCTAGCCAATGTCTGCCTCACAGGCTCAGGGGAAATGGGACTGTTGCACATGCCACCCACGGAATGGACTGACACTCAGGAAGCCCTGAGTCTGAGGAGGGAGCAGCAGCCCTGCCCCCAGGGAGCTCCAGTCTGAGACAAAAAGGACAGAGAGACAGAGGAAGAGAAAGTCTGAGGGGAGGGAGGCTAGGGAGGGTGGGCACTCCAATGCGCTTCAATGGAGAGAATGGAAAGGAAGCACATTTGAGGCTGTGTTCGCAGAGGGTTCAGAGGAAATGGGGGAGGAAAACTATTAGGCCTTAGGGGCTAGATCGACCCCCTCTATGGAACTCTGGGAAGTATATATGGGAGAGGCTTGCAGTGAACAGAGAAGAGAAAAGGCCCTGGAGGTGGCCCACAGGGGAGGGGTGCAGACCCTGCCTGCCTAGAACCTGAGATTTTAAAGCAAGAGAATGGAAAAGTGGAGAAGGTCACAAAGGTCAGGGTCAGCTCCCCCTCCCCCTCCAAAGTCTCTTGCCTGGGACTCTGTGTGTGTGTGTGTGTGTGTGTGTGTAGGAGCTTCCAGGAAGGGGTTGACACCCTAACCCAGCATCCTCTGGATTTCAAGCTGGGGATGGAACCCAGGGCCCTGAGTTTGCAAAGTGCATGCTTTCCCATGGAGCTACACCCCAGCCCCAGCAGCCTCTGCAGTACTCAGGAAGGGAGCAGTCCTGGCCACTTTTTCTCATCTAGGCGATGCCCAAGGAGTCCTGAGTCTCAGCCTAGGGAGCATAAAACAACACTAAGGAAAAAAAAGAACAGAGGTGGGACTTAGGATGCCTAGGGTCTGGCCATGACACTGACAAGCTGTGTGACCTTGGTCAAATCACCTTCCCTGTACAATATCAAAAGGTCCTATTTCCTCCTCTACCACAACAGAGGGCTGGACAGGATGGATATACCCAGGCATAAGACACATGGGCTGTGAGCACTTTCCCAAAGCACATGGGCCTGATGTTAAATGATACTGACTCACTTCCTCTGAAAGTTTGCAAATCTTTCAAGTCCATGCCAAATCTCACTTAAGAGACTGGATCTGGCCAGGAGCTGGTAGCTCACGCCTGTAATCCTAGCTACTCAGGAGGCAGAGATCAGGAGGATTGAGGTTCAAAGCCAGCCCAGACAAAGAGTTTACAAGACCTCATCTCAAAAAACCGCATCACAAAAAAAGGGCTGCTGGAGTGGCTCAAGGTGTAGGCCCTGAGCTCAAACCCCAGTACTGGAAAAAAGAAAAAAAAGAGAGAGAGAGAGAGAGAGAGAGCCTGGATCTGAATAATACTGAGCTTCGAAGACCAGAATTCCTGCTTGTGAGTGGAGTCATCTTGGCCTTCATCTATTTCTGTGCCTCCATTTTCTCACCTGGGGATAATAATAACATCTCTCCAGGAGTCATTGTTGGGATGAAGTGAGTTAGGATTTGGGAAGGGATTTGCACAGTACCTGGCATTCTATGCATCAAGGCCTCGAATAGGGCTGGGGTATGGCTAACACCGGTTACTTGCTAACCCTCTGTGTTTTCAAGCCAGCAGGTCACACTGTTCAGATGGAATTTAATGTTTTGTTCTCACTTTATTCTTAAGGTTTTCTCCTGTTTCTGGCAAGTGACATTGGCCTTCTAGTTGCAGTCCTGATACGAGTAGATTTTAAGTTTAAACAGTTTAAAGAACAGAATTAATATGAATAAGGGCTATTTTAAAGATAGGACCTATTCCTCAGGATGGCTTACAGTGGCTGGAGTTTGGCAAACTGGTAACCTCACCATGGGCTCAACCAACCCGACTTTCGAACCCATGCCCCCCAGCATGTGACACCCCTCCACCTTGCCTGACCTCTTCCGGCCCTCCTTCCAGCCCCTCCTGCGCTAACCAACACCCACTCTCCTTCTGGCCAAGCCCCTGCAGACTCCCACAGCAACTCCTAGGTCTGCAGAGCCCTTCCTGGAACCCGCCTTGGCAGCAGATTAAAGAGCTCCGCCACCCTTTATCTCTGCCTTCTGCATCCCCTCCCCAGGGGCGGGGGATCCTGGCGGCCCCGCCCCCTGATCCATGGACTGACGCTCCTCAAACGCACCCAGAAGCCAATTCCGGGCCCTCTGTCCCAGGCGGCCAGGACCTGATTCAGCTCTGCCCAGAGGCAAGTTAAGAGCCCTCCAGTGCCCGGCGCTCCAGACACAGTGGAGACTCTTGGGGAGGACTGTAGGGTTTGGTTGTCGCCATGGCAACGGTGTGGGTGGCTGGGACCCTGCGGACCGCTGCTGTAGGAGGGAGGCTGCGTGGCCCGCAAGGCAGGGCCGGCGGCCGGAGGCTGAGCTGCAGCGCGCGGCGGCGGGCGACCGGGAACACCAGCCCGGGTCGCCGGCTCAGTACCGCTTGGGCGCGGGCCCAACCTCCGACCAAGAAGGCCGATAGCGCGGAGGAGCGCGTCCAGTCGCCCGCTGCGGAAGAGCCGTGGTGGACGCCGCCTCCGGCGCCCCCCGAAACCCTGGCGCCCCCCGCGGGCCGCTCGCTTGTGCAGCGGGACATCCAGGCCTTCCTGAACCAGTGCGGGGCCAGCCCCGGGGAGGCTCGCCACTGGCTGTTGCAGTTCCAGTCATGCCAATACTCCGCGGACAAGCCCTTCGCGGTCATCGAGGTGAGCGGAGCCCGGCATCACAGTGTCGCAGCGAGGGGATGGGGTTGTGTGGACCATGTCGTCAGGCACGGCAGGACAGGCTGAGGACTCTGCGCAGGGGGACCGGGAAGGGGAGTTCAGGGGCACTGATTAGTGCTGGGGATGGTGAGGCCGCACGCTGCTCCAGAGACCTGGTGAGGAGTCCGGGAGCCCAACCCTCCGGGGGTAATATCTGAAGAAGGCTCCTCACTATGGGGTCAGTTAGGGGTTCCTTCGGCGGAGCCACCAGCACAACCCCTCCCCCAAGGTGTCCTAGAGTTCAAGGTCGCAGGGAGGAACGGAGGCAGGAACACTAGTGTGATAAGGGAATGGCAAGACTCAATGGGCAAAGGGCAGAGCACACGGACTCCGGTGGCCAGAAATGGAGTCTGCCAGCTCCTGAGCGGAGTTCGGACACTTTGAGGGTCCTAGGAGCAAGTGGCTCAGGGTCAGTGTCACACCCGCTGGACGCCTCACTAATCCACAGGTGGAGGAGGAGGTGCTCAAGTGCCCACAAGCCGTATCCAGCCTGGCCTTCGCCCTGGCCTTCCTGCAGCGCATGGACATGAAGCCGCTGGTGGTCCTGGGACTGCCAGCCCCCACGGCGCCCTCGGGCTCACTTTCTTTCTGGGAGGCCAAGGCACAGCTTGCCCAGAGCTGCAAGGTGCTGGTGGACGAGCTGCGGCACAACGCAGCCACAGCCGTGCCTTTTTTTGGCGGCGGGTCGGTGCTGAGCGCCGCGGAGCCAGCCCCCCATGCCAGGTTAGTGCTGGCCCTGCCCATCCTGCTATCCTCGGATTGGGCTACTCCGCTCGCCCTGCCCCAGTCCCGCGGGGCCGAGGGGGGCCCTCTCGAGCACCACGTCTGGCCCACAGCTACGGCGGCATCGTCTCGGTGGAGACGGACCTGCTGAAGTGGTGCCTGGAGTCCAGCAGCATCCCCATCCTGTGCCCCATTGGGGAAACGGCAGCGCGCCGTTCGGTGCTTCTCGATTCGTTGGAGGTGACCGCGTCTCTGGCCAAGGCTCTGCAACCCACCAAAATCATCTTCCTCAATAACTCAGGAGGCCTGCGCAATACTAGTCAGAAGGTGAGCCCCTCCATTCGCCCTCCTCCACCCCTGTGACTCTAGGCTGGCTGAGCCCTTACTCTTGCGTCCCCGACGGGCTGCCCCGCAGTCACTCTCAAGCCAGGTGGGTAGGAAAGTCTAATGCAGTATGGGAGAGGGTTTTGGCCCTTGGTTCCCTGACCTGAGCACTTCCTGGCCGAGAACTCCGGGAGGAAGGAAGGGTAAAGAGAACCGGGAGAAGAGAGATCCGTGGGGCAGGAGCGCAGTCTGAGGGTCAGGGGAAGCATTAATGGCCTGTTGTGGGCCGAGGCTCATTTTGTCGCCCCGGACGCAGGTCCTGAGTAACGTGAACCTGCCCGTCGACCTGGACCTGGTGACCAACGCCGAATGGTTGAGCACCAAAGAACGGCAGCAGATACGACTCATCGTGGACGTGCTCAGCCGCCTGCCCCACTACTCCTCCGCGGTCATCACCGCCGCCAGCACGCTGCTCACCGAACTCTTCAGCAACAAAGGTGCGGGCCATGGGAGGGCTGGCCTGGTCCCGGGGTGAGACCGGCCGGACCTGGAAACCGTAAGGAAAACACACCAATAGCTTCCTGCTTCAGCCAAAACCTGGGAGGAGCCGGGCGCCGGGGGCTCACTCCTGTAAGGGGTGAGAGGGTCGGAAATGGACCCACCGGGCATGCAATTTGGATGGGACTAGGAGTTGGGCGGGACTTGAGTGGGTGAGAGGAACCACCGATGGGCGAGATTTGGAGGGGCGGGACCTATAAAAATGGCCTGGACTAGAAGTGGGCAGGATTTGGGTGGTGGGCAGGGCTAGGAGCCGGATTGGACAAAATCTAGGGAGTGAAACGCAACTAGGAGGCAACAAAACTCCCCTCCTATTATTAATGTATGATAATTAAAAAATGAAATATTCTTTCAAAAAGGAATAGGAGGGGACCACAGGCGATAGGCGGAACTTGGGGAACAACCGCTGCCTGGGAAAAGCAGGCAAATCTCTGCAGACCACAGCAAGCATTCGACTGTGGCGTTCTCCCAAGGAGCGTAACTGTGCCCCTAGCCCTTGCCCTGCTAGGAGTTGAGAACAGGCCGTGCACACAGCGGGGACCGGGCTCTTTGCCAGCCTAACGCGTCCCCTCTATCTCGCCCCAGGCTCCGGAACCCTGTTCAAGAACGTCGAGCGCATGCTGCGAGTGACCAACCTGGACAGCCTGGACCAGGGCCGCCTAGTTAACCTGGTCAACGCCAGCTTTGGCAAGAAGCTTCGGGAGGACTACCTGGACTCGCTGCGTCCACGGCTGCACTCCATCTACGTCTCCGAGGGGTGAGCCTTGAGGGCTTCAGAGGGCAGGGACCAAGGGACCGAGTCAGGCAGCTTCGAGCCAAGGAGAGATCCCAGCCTGCTCTCTCCCACTGTGCCAGGTACAACGCTGCTGCCATTCTGACAGTGGAGCCTGTACTGGGGGGCACCCCGTACCTGGACAAATTTGTGGTGAGCAATAGCCGCAAGGGCCAAGGCTCCGGGCAGATGCTGTGGGAGTGCCTGCGGCGGGACCTGCAGACGCTGTTCTGGCGCTCCCGAGTCACCAACCCCATCAATCCCTGGTATGCCCCACCCTTCTTCTCTGGGCCCCAGCCAGCCATGCCCCGGGTTCACCAGCCAGGCTTTTTTCACTAGTTCCCTTCTGAGGGAAAGGGTGCACCCAGGGTCAGCTGGTGACATTCCGCGGGCACACACTTGTTTCCTTGAAGCAAATGACATCTGCTAACCCCCACACAACCTGCCTCTCCAAGTGCTGAGAAATTCTGCCCCCACCCCCCCAGCTCCTTTCAGGCCCAGTTACCAAGTTCCTGACTCCAAGCCCACTACACCTCCAAAGGACCACCCCTCCCTTTCCTTCAGCAACTATCCTTTCACCACCCCCACCCCACACCTACTGCCCGGCTCTCTGGGCACTAAGTGACCATGAACCCTCCCATTTGCTATACAGCCAAGGCAGTGGAGAGATATAGGGACATCCTCACTCTGACCTTCCTAGCTGTTCAACCTTGGAAAGTTACCTAACTTCTCTGAGCCTTAGCTGCTTCTCTGTGAAATGACAATACAGCCTGAAATAACTGACTCAGGCTGCTGTTTAGAAGGATGGAGATGACAATGGGCCCTACCTGGATGTCAAATATGTAGTAGACAAATAATATTATTGAAAACAGAAGCAGCGAATTGTGAGCACTGGCCATGCCCTAAAAGCTGTCTTCCTTTGCCCTCCCTTCACCAGGTACTTCAAGCACAGTGACGGCAGCTTCTCCAATAAGCAGTGGATCTTCTTCTGGTTTGGCTTGGCCGATATCCGGGACTCCTATGAACTGGTCAACCATGCCAAGGGGCTGCCGGACTCCTTCTGCAAGCCAACTTCTGACCCAGGCAGCTGACCCCTGCCATGGGCTCTGCAGGCCCTGGACAGCCAGGGTGGACCAAAAGCCATGCCTGTTGGGGGTGACCCCAGACAACCACAGACTGGATGGGGCTTGTTGGCTGAGTGACCTGCAGAGGAGGAAGTAGTCCCAGCTTTGTACAGAGGGGGTGTCCAAGAGGGACAAACATTGGTGGGGGGCGGGGCAGCTAGCTTAAGACCCTGACTTGCTACAAAGCCACAACCAGAAAGTCTTCAATTTCAGCTTGGAAATGGGGGGTGGAGTGCCTTCACAGGCTCTGCTCATGGTTGACTTAAGGGTGGGCTAGTTTCTGTGGACACTGCTGAGTTTTGAGGCTCCTTTGCCCAAAATGGCATCCCCACCTGCCTGATCTTCTACCACTCATTTTAATTCCTTTGGCCCTTGCAGTTTTTTCAGGAGGTCTTGATTAAAATGCAAATACTTGTCTGAGTTGGCTCACACTTGAAAGGAACTTAGCATGACCCTCTTAAGAGCAAGAGCATGAGGGCGGGGGAGCCAGGGGACTTTAGAGAAAGCAAAGGAGCTAAGGAGATGAAGGGCCCCAAGGATGAACCCTGCCACTGTCTCACTCAAAAGGGCTGCTCTGCCCCTAGGTTAGCAGACATTCTCCACTTCCCAGCCCAGAGGAACAGCAGCCCTGTTCCCCTTCCCTGTGTGGAGACCTGCACCAATAGCTCTTTCCAGGTGGGCCCAGAGCCCAGCGCAGACAGCAGTGGCTCATCTTTTACAAGAGCCCAGAGAAGCCACAAGATAGCTTTGGCTTAAATGTCCAGACTTGGCCATTCTACCCCAGCCCCAGTGGCAATTGGGTCATCTCTAGAAGACCAGCATGCTACAGCAAAGCAGCAATCCAGAGCCCAGAGATTTCATTCAACACTTTTTTCTGCAGTAGTGGAATCTGAACTCAGGACCTAGTGCTTGCTACACAGATGCTCCACTACCTGAGCCACGCCCCCAGCCCTCATGCAATGTATTTTTTTTTTGGGGGGGGCAGGTACTGAAGTTTGAACTCAGGGCCTACACCTTGAGCCATTCCACCAGCCCTCATTTGTGAAGGGTTTTTTCAAGATAATGGTCTCATGAACTATTTGCCCCAGGCTGGCTTTGAACCTTGATCCTCTTGATCTCTGCCTTCTGTGTAGTTAGGATTACAGGCGTGAGCCATCAGCACCCGGCTCTCTTCAATGTTTCTTGAACCCTCACCATGTGCCAGGTGCCTTATTGGCTACTGGAATTACTTTCTGTCAGAAATGGAATGAACAAGTAGGGAGACCATCAGCTGTGAGACCATCATGGCACACTGGGGTCTGGGACAGAACTAAGGCCCAAAAGCAGCCTCTCTCCTTAGGAGACGGGGTCAAGGATACACCTAGGCTTGGACATTAGACAACCTGGCTAGCAGTCCAGCTCTGTCTCAAAAATACCCTACAGACACACACACAAAAGGGCTGGTGGAGTGGTTTAAGTGGTAGAGCGCCTGCCTAGCAACATGAGGCCTTGAGTTCAAACCCCAATACCACCAAAAAAAAAACTGTCCCAAATAAGGACGGAAGGAAGAGGGACGGAGGAGGGGGGACGAAAAGCATAACTGAAGTGGGATGACATGGTGGTCCATGCCTGTAATCCTAGCATTTTAAGGCTGAGGCAGAAGGATCATGAGTTAGAGGCCAGACTAGGCTAAGTAGCAAGACACTAGCTCAAAACAAAACAAAAACAAAACCCATAAACTACAGTAAGGATTTTGAGGGGTTTTGTTTGTTTGCAAGTGCTAGGGATGGAACTCAGGGTCTGGTGAATGCTAGGCAAGTACTCTACCACAAAGCTATACCCCCAGCCCAAATTTTAATTTTTTTTTTTTTTGAGAGGCAAAGGAACTCTCAGAACAAGGGAACAACCATGAGAGGACCAAGGTGCAGTTTAACCAAATATGGTTTTTTAAGAAACCCAAGCTCAATCCCAGCCAATGGCAAAGTGCCCCGTGGGGAAAACAGGAGCAAAGCCCGATGCTGACAGGATGTTTATTTCAGAAGACTGTATGGTATTTGGGAGGGCACTCTGCCCCACCAGGGCAACAACGTAGTTGGAAACAGAAACAGCAGCAGATGGGAAGCTGGCCACTGCCTGCTCCACCCTACACATCCCAGACCACACCAGATCCTGCTCTGCTCTCAAGATGGGTGACAGAGAGCTGGAATTGTTTCTGCCCTGGCATATCCTGAAAATTCACCTGACTTCTGTAGTGCCGGGCCCTTCTGCTCCTTTGGGGCCTGATCCACATGTGTCAACACACACTCATGCTCAGTCTCTGACAAGCGTCACAGAGCTTAGCCACATCTGCCAGGTTCAAAAAGAAATTTTTCACATTTGCTCACTTCTAGATCTTCCTCTGTCTTCCACTTCCAGTCCTGCCTTACTCCCTTCTCAGGGTTCCCTGCTTGGACATCCAGGGAGCAGCTGACCTCAGCTCTCCTAACAAACAGGAAAAAACCTGTGAAGCATTAGTATCAGAGCTCCCACCCTCTCAAGGGCCCAGCCAGGAATTTAGGGAAGAGACCTGCCTCTCAACTATGCAAAACAAAACAAAACAAAACAAAACACGATCAAAGAAACAGACCAAGAAGCATAAATAAACAGCAACTGGGCCAGCAAGGAAGAAGGCAGGGTGGCCCCCAGTGGCTCGCTGTGCCCATTTCAGCCTCTCACTGTGGAACTCAGCCATCAGTGGCCAAAATGACAGCAGCCCCAAAGATGCCCACACTCTCGCCAAGGAGCTTCATCTGGTTCCAGAACTCAACACGTCGTGTGCTGTGCCAGTAGGTGACGTTGCCATCGATGAGCAGCATAACAGGAGGCAGCAGTACAGCCAGGATCTGAGCAGCCAGGGTCACATAGTAGCCTGACAAGAATGCCAGGGCCAGGATGCCATACAGCACAAAGAACAGCTGGATCATCAGCTCCCCTCCTGGGAGATGGTTCAGGTACGCCAGCCGGTCCTCCTTGCTGTGTTGCAGCGAGTAGGCCTGGAGACACACCATCCTCTAAGACTTTCCCTGCAGGCTGAAAAGCCCATCTGGGAAAGGCACACCTGAGCTAGGGTCGACAAATCAGCCCCTGCAAAGTGGGCTCCTGAGTCACCTCTCAGAAAAGAAGGCCAACTACAGGGCACTGGGAGGTTAAACTGCACATCTCTATTCCCCAAAGTTTGTATGGAAGGAAGGGTATCTCCATTGTCAGACTGGGGCTACCAGCTCTGAATATGCCATGGAAACCCACAAAGAACACAACATATAGGATATAATACATGGTCACTAAGATGAGGCCAAGAGCCTGGAGCCTGTCCACATCCTCACCTACACTGGCCTCCCCAGGCACCAGGGAGGACTATAACTGGCTACCCATTAGCTCTAGGTGGCAGAGTCCCAGATGAAGCCTGAATCACAACACATCTCACTTTGTTCCCTCTCTCAGCACTCTGGAGGTTAGAGCCATGAGAACCACCCCATCTTGTTCTCCTCTCAGGGTTGAGAATGAATGGGCAATCCAACTTCTTCTCTACCTGGTGGTTATTGGCCAGAAACTGAATGCAGGAGCTACAAGCAAGGCCTTGTTCTGCCTCTCCATCCCCCACCCTAGTTCTGTCAGGCCTGGCCTCACACTTCATTCCCAGCCAGTCACTTCCAACCAACAGAACCCCAACTTACCACACAGATGAGGTAGACACCCAGGAACACCTGGCCGGTGGACTGTAGAGAGCGGTTTCGGGGTTTCCTACGGTACAGCTCCCCAGCGCCACTGGCCAACACCAGAAAGCCTCCGACGATGGCAACTGTTCTCGAGTACATCCGGACCTAAGACCAGGGCAAGGGGACCTGAGTCAGGACCTGCAGCCACCCACATTTCTCCTGGCTGCCCGAAACACAATCTGCCCCTCTCTACACATCCCGTTCCATCTGATAAACCCTCTTACCTATTCCAAGTGCGGTGGGCAGGTACGGCAGAGATAGATAATTCTTTTTTACAGAAGTGGAAACTGAGGCCCAGAGGGGTTAAGAAAATTGTCCATGGTCCTACAGAAAGTAAGTGGCAGAACCCAGACACCACACATTACCCCTCCCCCACCCCGGGTCCAGAGGTAAGTCCAGTGTTCTTTCCTCTTTCCATTAAAATAACCCACTGATCCCACTGCAGCTGTGACACATCTGCCTCCCCTACTGCACTGACAGTCCCTTACTTGAGGGTGGTGCCTTTGTCTAACCTTATTTCCAAGCTGTAGTGTCTGACACAGGTTCTGGCATGTACAGGCTTAAGTGCTGCACTAATATTAATTACATTTCATAAAATCAGATGAGTAGACCAAATACTTCCCAAGATCCCTTTTCCCTTTGAGTCTGGGATTACTAAAGTAATGGTTTAAAGGGTTCTAGGAATCAAGTGACCTGGGTTCTGGTCCCATCAGTATGCTAACGGTGTGACTAGGAAAGTATGTTTGCATTTCTGACCTCAAGTTTTCACACACTTAAGGAGAGGTCTGTATGGTCTCTAAGGATTCTCCGTTTTTGTACTCTGCAATAATCTCCACAAACCTGCAAGTTCACCCTTCCCAGGCTTCACACCTGGCTGGCATTATACACATCACCAAGTGCTCCGGGAATTGGCCTGCAGCTCCTCCTTTCCCGTAGTGAAGTCCCTCCTATGGCCCACGAACTCACCTTCAGCCAGTCCCCATAGTGGACGTAGCCCCCGATGTAGGCGGCGTAGGTACTAATGGCCAGCTGGACTGCAGCTCCCAGCGCGAACCAGCGCCGCTTCACCCCGAAGGACATGAAGCTAGCACACAACACGGCCGCCCCCATGTCGAAGTACAGGTAGGGTACTGGGATGTCGGGCTTCCTGGGAGCCGAGAGGGGGAAAGCAACGAGGTCTGAATGAAGAGGAAAGAAGAGCCTGCGACCCCGTAACTCACGGCAAGCTCCACTGCTCCTCCAAACTGAAGACCCCTCTCATGGCCAGGACCACCGCATCAAATCTGGCCGAATACCCGGACCAGAGCCCCTTCTAGCAAGTCCGAGGTACCAGTTCCTCCCAGCTCAAGGGTCTCAACGTCTGAGCCCCAACCTGTTCACATCACCGCACCCCAGTTCCTGGGACAGGCCGTACCGCCCCCCACCGCGTTCGACAGCTGCACGGGCACGCTCACCGGCGCGCCTCGGCCCTCTCGGCGTACAACATGAGCTGGCTGAAGCAGCCCCAAAAGGGGCAGCGTGTGAGCAGCACCGAACCCAACTGCATGATCAACTGCAGCATCCAGCGTCTAGAGCCAATCTTCGAAGCCATTTTGGAAAAGGGCAATCCTCTGAGGCCTCACGCCCAGTCTGCGAGGCCGGCGTGCGACGGAAATGGGCTACGTAACTTCCTGTCCCTGATTTTTTCCCTTCTTCTGGAAACAACGCTTTCACTCTCTTAGTTCCGAACAGAAGGCTGTGTTCTTGTGAAGGGCAACAAGCTTTCTCTGCCCATTTCTGAGAGTTCAGGACCCCTCTTTGTACCTTCAAAATTGAAAACCAGACTAGAGGAAGGAGTATGGGGTCAGAACATCAGAAGTCTTGGGTTGTGGCTTGATGTATGGAAGCAAACTAGCCTGGATGCAGGCAGTCCTGGGCTCTAACCTGAACTCCAACCCTTTGATTGGGAAACACTTGGCCTAAATTGAGACTCATCTGTAAATGGAAATCATCACATCTATCCCACCGATTTGTTGGGAAATTTTAGTAGGGAGACCAATAAAGGGTATATACAACACCCCTCCCCCCAGTCTTCTTGGCTCAAAGTCACCTGTTTAGTCTTGGTCTGCCTTTTGTCTGACTCCTAAAAGAAGAGGGAGAGCTAATGTGGACATTTGGAACATTTCAAGTCAGTCCATTCTTCTCAGCTCCAATGCTCCTACTGTAGCCCAAACTAGCATCTTTTGTCAATTTAACTGCAGCAACCTTGCCAATGGCCTCCCCCACTTCCCTTGTGGCCTCTTCCAGTTTGTTCTCAGTTCCCTTATTATATCAGTTATTATAATATTGGCTACCCTTTATTTGGATCACTTAGCACAGAGGCAGTATGTTTGTGACTCTTTTATTAGTCACTATCTTTCCCCACTGGATTATGAGCTTCATGAAGGCAAAGGCAGTATCTGGATATACACAGGAAAAATGTGCAGCACGGATAATAAATGAACAAAAGGTGTTGTCACTAAGTCTAGTTCATAGTAGGTGTTCAGTATCTGCTAAATAAAAGGCAAAAGTTTTGAGCACTATGGGGTTGCCACCACAAAGCTGCCCCGCCTATCTTTGGGCACAGACACACCCTTTAACTCACCCTCCGATATTTAAGACCCTGTAAGCACTCCAGTAGTTCATTTAATTCAGGTCTGCTTCCAATTCCCTGCATGGGGCCCATGTCCAAATAGCATTTCTGACCATGGGAATAAAAAACTCCCAATTAGTCAAAGTTAGACAGTAAAATCCCTTTTCACATTTCATTTTTAACAAAGATGTTAGAAGTCTGAGTATATAAGAAAAACGTGAGAGGGATATATCCATGCAAAGAACTAGGGGACAGCAAAGTTGGGGACTGGGGAGAGTTCTAGGCAGGGGGAGTAAGTCCAGGATAAAGATTATTTTGCCTATCTCCACCTACTACTGACAGCCACATGAATTAAATTTTCTCACCATAATACAAGCATACAGTACAGAATCACTTTCCAGTTGGTTTTCTTTTTCGAGTCTCTTCACCCATCCCTGATTCAAATGGGACAGCTGTATAGCCCTAAGATGTTGAGGACAAGAGCTGGGATTATGTATGTCTATAAAATAGTTCCAGAAGCCTGCCTGGGCTGTCCCCACAGGCAGTGACCCACCTTTCCATCGTGACCTTAGCAACCAGTTTCAACTGAATCTCCCATCAGCAGAAACCAAGGAGTAGGAAAATTAGGATTGAGGAGGCTTTCCTTGGTATCTGCTCTGCCCCAATTCCTCTGGTTTAGGTCCCTTTCTAGCTTTTACTGCACTCTTCCCTATAGTGCCAAGTCAGAGGAAGGGAATAAACAGGCAACCTAGTCCCTGAGAAACCAACATGGCCCATTTGCCCCTACCCTCTCTTCTTCCTACCCCTACCTAAGCAGATAACTGAGCCTCACAGAACTTTTTTTTTGTTGGTGGGTGGGGCCTGGGGTTTGAACTCAGGACTTCACATTTGCAAAGCAAGTGCTCTACTTCTTGAGCCTCAACTACAGTCCATTTTGCTCTAGTTATTTTAGAGATGGGGGTCTTGTAAACTGTTTGCCTGGGATAGCCTATAAATTCGATCCTCCTGACTCAGCCTCCCTAGTAGCTAGGATTATAGGAGAAAGACACTAGCATCTGGCTAACCCAACAGAACTTTTGAAGAACTTCCCTTTTTCTCCCAAAGCTCCTCTGATCTCCTTCCTCCAGCTTCCTTGACTACACCCTGCAGCCTCCCTCACATATCCAGAGGGCTCCCCCGCTTCCTGGATCCACCAAAGCCCTGCCTGCATTTGTGCTTGGCCATAACCACAGTCACAGTGATGGTGTCCAGAATGGTGCCTGTGAGGTCTAGCACAGACAGAATGGGCCTGTATGCTGCTTAGTGCTGCCCCCAATAGCCACACAGGCCCAGCACATAGAAAGTTGCCCAGATCAGTCACATGCAAGTACCGCTGGTGACTCAGCTTCCTAAAGGTTGTGAGGTTACAGTCACATGTCCAGGGGTTGTTGGCTAGCAGCAATCATATACCAGCTGTCTGGATGCCCATCACTGCCTTGAACTCAAGGTGCTTCAGTCAGTTGCCCACAATAAAGAGTACCCTCAAGGTCATAAAGACTTCAGCCTCCAGCTCGCTGATGTTGTTCCCATCCAGAAAGAAAGAGAAAGAGAGAGAGAGAGAGAGAGAGAGAGAGAGAGAGAGAGAGAGAAACCTCTAGGCTTGGCATTATGGCAAATGCAGCACATTCAACTCACTGCAACTGGTTCCCAACCATTGACAGCCAGCACCTAATTCAGCCAGCTGGTTGTGACTCAGGTGGAGCCACTCCAGGCTCCCTAGGCCACAGAGACTGCAGGAGGCAGGGGTCCAGAGTGGGAGCAGGCTGTTGAGAGAGAGGTCCAGGAAGAGCAGAGACCTCAGGGCATCCAAGAAGCCCAGGGCCAAGCGGGCTGCTGGTTGTGACTGAGGTCTGGGAAAGCCCAGGAAAACCAGGCTCCCCCAGACCCACCAGCTATAACACACAGGATATTGTAAGAAAACAGCAGAGGCCCTGGAAGGAGCCAAGTGGCAGGTGGCTGAGATAACTGTGGCTCAGCTCCAGGAGCCAGACTCACCAGGGAGCCTGGGAGGGAGTCTGAGCAGATGGAGGCCCCCAATCCAACACACTGCCCACAGCTGAGCAAGCGCATGGAGATGGGCATGCTGCCACCAGATTCCAGAGAAAGGCCAATGACAACATTACGGCCATGGTCATTATGAATGAGGAGTGGCCACATGGAGTGAGGATGGCATCAGGCACTGGAGGATGCTGAGCCTTCAGTTCTCAACTCCTCCACCTAGGACCCTGGGGAAGTGTGGAAATGCCAGAGGGGAAAAATATAAGCAGATTCCATTCAGGGTCTTGCCATTTGCTGGGTCTCCAACATGGTCTCAAGGTCACCCTCCCACTATCCTCCACAAAATTTTAACTTACTTAGACTTCTGGCAACAGCCATCTCAGGCTGGATGCCAATGACTCACGCCTGTAATCCTAGCTATTCAGGAGGCAGAGATCAGGAGGACTGCAGGTCAAAGACAGTCCAGGGCAAATAGTTCACAAGACTCTTATTTGAAAAACCCCATCACCAAAAAAGAAATGGAGGAGTGGCTCGAGCAGTAAGAGAGCATGTGGCCAAGTCCAAACCCCAGTACTGCCTGAGACCCCCAACAAACTGATACCCCAACCCTACCAACACTCATTCCCTTATTCCTGCTAGGATAGAAAGCAGTCAGAGCCTCAGCCCCCTTCTTTATTCACATGCCATACCTTACCTCATTTTCCCTAAGATCTGAGAAGAAACTGCATTCTGCCCCAAATCACTCATTTGGTTGCTCTCATGCAACCAACATCTGTAGCTGTCTTCTGCAAGAGTCCAGAGCCTTGATTAGACACTGGCCTGGTCTGGCCACTGAGGCCAGTACCTTAACCTTGTAATGCCAGTACCTGCACCTGTGTTTTTGGCAACACCTGGGGGGCAGGTGTGGCAGTGGCAAGAATCTCAGTTCTGTTTTCCTGCTGGACTGGCCTCTTACCAGAGCCCTGTTTTCAAGGACAACAGATGGACCGGCCCTCAGGAGGCCTTAGCTCTTAAGGGGAAGGAAATCCCCAGAGCCTTGTGGTCTTGTATCCAGTGAAGCAGGACCAACCCTGTCAGGAGCATGTGCTCCACCCCCGTTTGCCTGGGATGGCCTATAAATTCGATCCTCCTGACTCAGCCTCCCTAGTAGCTAGGATTATAGGAGAAAGACACTAGCATCTGGCTAACCCAACAGAACTTTTGAAGAACTTCCCTTTTTCTTCCAAAGCTCCTCTGATCTCCTTCCTCCAGCTTCCTTGACTACACCCTGCAGCCTCCCTCACATATCCAGAGGATATGTACTGCAAGTACAAGGACCCAAGTTCAAACCTCAGTACTGCCAAAAAACACTGTCAAAAAAAATCATGTCTGAACTGGGCACCAGAAGCTCACACCTATAATCCTAGCTACTTTAGAAGCTAGGATCAGGAGGATCGAGGTTTGAGGCCAGCTAGAGAAAATAATTTGTAAGATTCCCATCTCCAAAATGACCACAGCAAAATGCACTGGAGGTATGGCTCAAGTGGTAGAGTGCCTGCTTTGCCAGCACGAAGCTCTAAGTTCAAACTCCAGACCCACTTAAAAAAAATTGTATCTGTATAACAACTATTTGTGTATAAATTACATTGTTAGATATTGCAGGTTGAGAATCTCTTTTCCATAATATTTGGAACCAGTGTGTTGGATTTCAGATTTTATCAGATTTTGGAATATTTGCACATATATTTTGGGGATGGGACCCAAGTCTAAACATGATCTTCATTTATGTTTCATATATACCTCATACACATGACCTGAAGGCAATTTTATAACTTTATACACTCAGGTGTACTAAAAGTCTGGTCTGCTAACATCAGACCAGATCTGTCTGCTGAAATCCCTTAGCTATGCCTCCTGCCAAGAACAGAATCCAGCCTCTCCAGTGGATGGAGGATTCCATACCATCTGGTTCCAGTCTGCTTCTCCATTACCTTGCTCACCAGGTGACTGTGAGCTGTCATCTAAGGTCAGGTATGGCATTTTCTTTTTTTTGTTTTTGTGGTACTGGGGTTTGAACTCAGGGCCTCACACTGGCTAGGCAGGTGCTCTACCATTTGACCCACACCTCCAGTCCATTTAGCTCTGGTTATTTAGAGAGGGGAGGGTCTCACAAACTATTTGCCCAGGCTGGCCTCAAACCTCAGTCCTCTCAATTCAGCCTCCCAAGTGGCTAGGATTACAGGTGTGAGCTACTGGCACCTATCAGGTATGGCATTGTCTACTGTGGTGTCCCAATAACATAGTTTCAGATTTTGGAGCATTTAGGATTTCAGATTTACAGATTCCAGATGCTCAGCCTGTATAAGCATCTAGAGATGACTTAAAGTATGTATGAGGATGTGCATAGGTTATATGCAAGTATTATGCTATTTTATATAAGGGCCCTAAGCATCCAGATTTTGGTACCCTCGGGGGGTTCTGGACCCAGTTCCCTGCCGATACCAAGAGAAACTGTACAGTCTTCTCCTTCCTTCCTCTTTAGTGGAGAAAGGGTCCCCTCTTATCAGAGGCAAACCCACCCACCATGGCCACGGACCCTATCTCTTCCTCTGCTCAGAGGTCACAACATGAATGTCTGGCTTCAGTCCACTTTTCTCTGAATTCTAATCTTGTTATCCAGCTGTCCATTTGCCATCTGTTCTATTATGTTTCATGGGCAAAATAGAGTGACAGAAAGATGTTCCCAGAGCCCTAAGCCTCTTCCATTGTCTGCCATCGACCTAGCAGTCATTTCTTAGTTCCTCTGTCCTTCACATCCAGTCCATCAAGTCCCATTGGTACTAAAACTACTTTTCTGCCACTACCATCTTCTGCCTAGACTCCCACAACAGCCTCCTAGCATACAGCAGCCTTCCTGCTCCTGCTGCTGCCAACATCAGACCAGATTCTTTGACTGCTGAAGTCCTTCAGCTGTGCCTCATACCAAGAACAGAATCCAGACTCTCTAATGGATGGAGAATCCTGTACCATCATCTGCTTCTCCATCACCTTGCTCATCAGGCATCAGACACCAGTCTTCTCTCAGTTCCTTAATATCTCAAAACTTTTTTTTCTTTTTTTGGCAGTACTGGGGTTTGAACTCAGTGCCTCATGCTTGCTAGGCAGGTGCTCTACCACTTGAGCCACTCCACCAGCCCCTATCTCAAACTCTTACCGACCTTAATTTTGGCACTTGCTGTTCCCTCTATCTGAGCACTCCTGGCTGGTACCCTGTTCTTTATATGTCCGTCCATTCCAGTCACTTTTCAGAGGCCATCCATGAATGTCCTCTTTAAAGTGGTACACCCTTCTCCCTCCAGCAAGCAGAAGCAACAACCTTAAGGTAGGAGACAGAGCAAAAGACAAGGGGCCAGATGTGAGAGTCCACCTCTTGCCAGTGCCTCCCCTACAGACCTACAGCAAGTTCTTTACCACTGTGAAAGTCAGCACCTGAGGGTTAACCGAGTAAAGGAGGGCAAGTTAGCCAAGAAATTGCTAAGAATGTGCCTTAGCTTCACTCTATCCTGCCAATCCAGAAAGGAATTTAGTTCCACTTTAGACTTTTCAACAAAACTGAAAACTAGAAAAATAAGAGAGGCCAGGCAGGAAAGCAGGTGGAGAGCACAATCTGACCAGATTTGATCCCAGTCTGCTCCAGAAGCCTGAAAGAAAACTAAGTGTGTAGCCAGGCGCTGGTGGCTCACGCCTATAATCTTAGCTACTCAGGAGGCAGAAATCAGGAGGATCACAGTTCAAAACCAGCTCAAATAAATACTTCATGAGACACTATCTCGAAAAACCTTTCGCAAAAACAGGACTGGTGGAGTAGCTCAAGGTGAAGGCCCTGAGTTCAACCCCATTACTGCAAAAAGGAAAAAAAAGAAAAGAAAAAGTCAGCCAAGAGTGGTGGTACATACCTGCAATCCCAGCATTCAGGTGGCTGAGATGGGAGAATCACAAATTGGAGGGCAGTCTGGAATACATAGTGAAACCCTGGCTCAAGCCTGTGAGTCACTTTTCATCAACTCAAGCAACTCATCCATCTATTATACTGATGACTTTCAAAACTCTACTTACTGTCTTAACAGCTGTGTGCAAAATAATACTACAATGAGTACAGGTTTATCCTTTACCTTTACCCCTTATCCAAAATGCTTAGGACCAGAAGTGTTTCAGATTTCAGAGTTTTCAAGATACTCGATAATTCAAAACTTTTTTTTTTTTCGGTAGTACTGAAGTTTGAATTCAAGGCCTCACATTTACTACACGGGTGCTCTACCACTTGAGTTACTCCAAAAGCTCCCAAATTCAAAAGTTTTTAAGTGTCATGTCCACTCAACCTGTAATGTAAGTCATTATCCTTGACTTTAAGGCTCAAAATTCCCCATCAGTGCTGGGCTGGGTGGTACACACCTGTAATCCCAGCATTTGGGAGGTCACTGCAGGAAGATTATGAGTTTAAGGCCAGCCAGGACTACAAAGCAAGTTTCAGGTCAGTCTAGGTTACATAGTGAGATCCTGCCTTCAAACATAACAAAAGAAGCAAACAAACAAACAAAACTCATTAAAACCAGTAAAGATAAACCTAAACAAGTAACTGTAAGGCACCTCATACATGCCACATGATATGCGAACACTAAAAATTCTAAGATCGCTTTCTACTCTGTCAAAGACAGCTTCATAACCCCCTTTAAGGCAGGGTGTTGTAGCATAAGCATTTAGTTTTGCATGTTGAGGAACATCTGTTCTAAGATGCCAACAAATTTAGAGTACCACTGACTCAGTAACTTACTTTGTGGGCTAGGGAAAAGGTAACCAATTGGCAGGTTTGACATAGTAAGGTGCTCTTGAGTTTTCAGAAATGCAAAGGGCAAAGAGAAGTATCTTAGAATATGATCTGTATAGGAGAGGATGCAAAACGTTAATATTTGCGAGGGGATTGATGGAAAATTCTTCCCTTATTTTGTAGTTTTTCTGTTAGGAGCCATGTAAGTCTTTCGTAATTCCCTGTAAGGTGCTTCACCTATGTATCTGATCATTACATTAAACTCCTATAATTTAGGCAGCACAATGGGATGATTCCAAGTTTCTTAAAACTCTGGTGGCCTTCAGCAGTGATGGAAAAGTAAATCAACCATGTCAACTGTTCTTCGACAGTTCAATATCCCTTTTGATCTAAGGGGCGATTACTCTCACTAGCCATCCTCTAAACCTGCAAAGGAAAGTGACTAATACACAGAGCATTGTTTGGAAAATCAATAGGGGCCTACTGAAAACAGGCATTAGGGGACCATGAGTTGTAAGGCCTGATTTTGTTCTAGCTCTATCATTAGGCAGCCGGGGCACTCTGGACAAGTCACTCATCTCAGTGGAACTCATTCTCCTTTCTAAAGAACAAGTCATTTCTCAGGGACTTCAGGGACTATAGAGATCTGTAAGACTGAGGCCAAGGATCTGAGACCCCCATCTATCTCTGAACCAGTTTGGCCCAAATGCCTTCCATACCAGCCTCCTTTAAAATATTCTCTAAACCAAGGTTTCTTTTCAGGCTTTTTTTTTTTTTTTTTTGGTGACAGGGATTCACTATATAGCCCAGGCTGGCTTCAAACCCTTGATCCTCCTGCTTCAGCCAACCCTGTGCTTGGGATTAATGTGTGTACTACCACATGTGGCTCTAAATGAAGCAGGTTTTTTTTTTTTTTTTGTGGTACTGGGGTTTGAACTCTGGGCCTACACCCTGAGCCACTCCACCAGTCCTTTTTTGTGATGGGTTTTTTGAGATAGGGTCTCGCAAACTATTTGCCAGGCTAGCTTTTAAATACAGTTTTCCTTATCTCTGCCTCCTGAGTAGCTAGGCATGAGCTACAGGTACCCAGCTGTGATGGGTATTTTTAAGATACAGTCTCGAAAACTATTTGGCCGGGTTGGTTTTGAACCATGATGCTCCTGAGCTCTGCCTCCTGAGTAGCTAGGTTTATAGGCATGTGTCACAAGCACCTGGCTAAATGAAGGTTTCTAAAGCAAAGTTGGAACTTTTGGAATTCATCTAATCCAACTCCAATCCCAATTTAACCATCCTAGGACCAAGCTAACTTTTTTGTTTTGGGCAGAACTGGGGTTTAATGCAGGGCCTTGCATTTGCGAGGCAGGCACTCTACAAATTGAGCCACTCTGCTAATACTTTTTGTGGTTATTTTTGAGGTAGGGTCTAGCTTGTGCCTTGGTCTGCCTGGACTGAAATCCTGCTTGTGTTTCTCCATGTAGCTGAAGATGACAGGCATGCAATGCCCAGTAATTGGTTGAGATGGGGTCTTGAGAACTTTTTGCCCAGGCTGGCTACAAGGAGGATCCTCCCAAGTTCTGCCTCCTGCGTAGCTAGGATTACAGGTATCATTTTAAGCTAACATGTATATAACATTTACAAAGTGCCTTCTAAGCATTAAACATTTTAAATCTTATTAACAATTCACATCAAGTTTAGGAGATGGGTATTATTTCCATGCTTGCAGTTGGGGAAAATAAGGCTCTGGTACTTGAAATGACTTACCCAATCACAAAGTGAGAAATGGAGATGTGAGGATTTGAACCCAACTATTTGTCTCCACAGTCCTTGGTTCAAGTTCCCTGCATCATTTTAGAAACTAAGACTAAGGAGTCAAAACTGCTTTCTGCCCAAAGCCAGCTGGCATCCTCTTTCTGCATTCACAGACCTAGAGACTAATGGGAGAGAAGTGAAAAGCAGGGCATACAGGGTCCACCTGAGGCTTGGGATTTCCCACTGATTAAATCACTTGCACTCCTTTAATTGAGTATCTTAGGTTCTCTAGACATGACAAGGTTTCTTTTGTCTCTTTTCCCAGCTGAACTTCATTTCCATGAAGTTCTTTGGCAGGAAGTGGATTTGAAGTTACTTCTCGGCTCTTCTACCCTTTGTGTCTTCAAGCAGGATTCACACTCTTCCCACACCCCTGAGGTTTGAACTCAAGGCTTCACACTTGCTAGACAGGCACTCTACCACTTGAGCCACTTTGCCAGCCTTGGCGGGGTGGGGGGAGTGGTGTTGGGAATTTTTGAGATAGGTTCTTGTGAACTATTTTCCCGGCTGGCCTGGAACCACATTCCTCCTGATCTCTGTCTCCCATGTAACAGGATTATAGGCATGAGCCACCGGCCCCCAGCTTAAATCACAAACTTTGCACTGTATTTCTCAAAGAGTTCTGAGAGGGTGAAAAAAGGGGTAAAAAGAGGAAGCAGAAAACTTAAAAGCAAAGGTCAAGACAAGCACACACACATCCTCCTGAGATACCTTGGATCCCCTCCTCAGGAGCCTCTAAAGTACACATAAACCTGAGACATGAGTGATGGTTAAAAAAATTTGGGTTTTATTGTTTTTACTAAACAATACTAAAAAAAAATTTTTTTTTTCATTTTGAAGGCAGGGCTTGAATTATTTAATTTTGATCCATTTATTTAATTAAAAAAAAAAAAAGGAAGGGGAACGAGATCATGGCCAAAATAATAATAGTTGGCCCCCACCCTACCCCCAAAGCTCTAGCCAGTCACAAAAGTCCCACTCAATGCCTGATGGTCAGGTGGCAGCACACTCTACCCCATGAGACTGCCTTGAAGGCACGGGGGTGGTGAGTGCCAGTTTCAACTCTAAGCAGTTAGTCAAACCAGACAAACTGGTGGGCTAAAGTCCAGAAATTCTTTCCAGGGTTTCCTGCCCATTGGCTGAGCACATACAAACTCTCATTAGCTTGTAAGATTTCAGGGAGTAGGAATAGGGCAGAAGAGCAGGAGGATGGCAGGAGAAGACCAACTAGAGGTCACCCAAGCTTTTTCCTGGGCTCTATAGCGGCTCCGAATATAGACTTAGAGAGGCTGGGGTAGATGGACTCCAGGTTTCTTAGAAGAGAAAATCAGCCCTGGAGGAGGACAAGCCAAGGTGTGCCATGCAAGTGAGTTCTTCCTGCAGAGGCACAAGGAGAGGGGTGGCTGACTCCTACATGGAGAGCAGGAGGTTCTTCTAGTACCGTAGAGTGAGACAAAGGGAGAGTCCTGAGGCCAAATTCAAGACTGGTACATACAGTTAAGACTAGAAGGACATCAGGACCCTGCACACAAGTGCTGCAGGAGAGCCTGCTGTGAACTAAGTCAAGTTAGTTGTCTGGCTATGGGTGGTAGCAAGGGAAACACATTTTTATTCTCAGAGGGATGAGGTGGGAAGAGTGGCCATGATCTACTAAAAAGAGACCTGCAAGAAGCAGAAAATATTTAGAGAACATTTTAATATATATTTTCATATATATATTTAAAGTTAAGAAAAATAAAACTAATTCAAGCCATGCCCTGTGCAAAAAAAAGAAAAAAAAATAAAGTTGAAAAAAAAAAAAAAAAGAAATTTTTAAAGTGAGACCACTGCTGCTCTGGTCTCAACTTAAGAATCACAGTCAGCTTGTTATTTTTATTTTGGAAGAAAAGATGTAAAAGTTTCTTTCGATCACTCAGAAGGCAAGTGTAGCCACTTATAAAAACAGAATGGCAGGAACAGACAGGGAAAGGAAGGTCAGAGGTGAAAGGGCAGAGAGGGAAAGGACTTTGCAAAAATAAAATTAACAAGATGACTGTTCCAGAAGGGGGCTGTGAAAAGGACATGGTGGACCGAAGTCTGTTAGTCAAGTAATGATTCAACTTTTAAATTATTCTCTTGTTCTTTTTGTTGGGTGTTTTGTTTGTTCAAGTCTAAGATTTGGAAATGCTGACCCTTTGTTACAAGAGCCAACAGGAAATATAGGATCCCTTCCCTCCCCCGGCCTGCCTCCGGCTGAAGCCACCACCACCACTGCCTCCTTGGCTGGATGCTGGAAGAGTCCTCCATGTATGTGGACTCAGGATGACAGGGCAGCCTCCTTCTGTGGTTGTTGGGCTTGTGAACGTTGCAGTATCTTTTGGCTTTCCACATCTCTAAAATGTTTTTCAACCTGCAAGAGATCAGGCAGCCAAGTCGGAAAAGGATAGGCAAGCGAAATTTTCCAAACAATGCAGTTCAGGCTTCACCAGCCCCAGTCCAGCTATCTGGCCCAAGGACTGCATAAGCACCTTTGCCCCTGCTGTCTACTGGCTTACCCAACCACAAGGTAGGCAGGACCCTCTTATTTCAGCCGTATTTTTGGCAAGCTAGCTACGATTCACTTTGTCATACTTAGGATTTGAACTCAGGGACTCATGCTTGCTAGGCAGGCACTGTACTAGTTGAGCCACTCTGTCAGCTTAAGATTCACTTTGAAGAAGTGAAATCAACCAAATTCCTCCACCCTTCTTGATCTCAGTGTAGAACAAAAATCTAAGGGAAGGAGAATTTGTCTTATCATACTTTAAATGCATGGTGGTGGTCTCTCAATGTTTCACAAAGACATAAAAAGTGAGAGTATTTTTCAGTTTGTTTTTACAAATGCTATAACTCAATCTAGAAAGTCAGGTGTCACATATGTAGGATCAGAATGGCAAATGATTTACACCAATCATCCCTTCCTTGAGGGAGGCACCTGTACCTGAGAACAACCCATCCTGGGATGAGAGGAACTGCTCTAGGCCCCATATCATGAAACAGACTGCTCACTTTAATCTATACCGCCCAGTGCTTACATCCCCACTGGAGTGCCTGAGCCACAGCTGCAGAGTCCCACAGTGCAGGGAGGTCAGGCAGGCTAAAGGAGGCATCCTGGACATAAAAGCAGAACATTCTGCTTTGATGCTGCAGGGTGAAGGCCAAAGAAGCCTCTTCTCCCTAAAGTTTCACAACACCTTTACTTACTATTTTGCGTACATGGCTCAGTGCACTCCCCTCTTTGCCTTTACAGTTTTCCACTTGATATGGGGGTGTAATAACAACTTCTTCCATGACTACGATGTTTTTTTCTTGCCATTTACAGTCTTTAATGCTGGAAGGAGAAGACAGCAGGTGAAATAACCACAAAGTGTGGTGGCACATGCCTGTACTTCCCCAGCACTCAGGAGGCTGAGGTGGGAGGATCATGAGTTTGAAGCCAGCCTGAGCTATAATATAGCAAGACCTTGCCTCAAAGAAAAAAGCAAAAAAAGCAAAGAAAAGAAGGTTTTCCTCCTGGGGGTATCCCACACCTCCTACTTGATGAAAAACTAACTTCAAAAGGCTGACCACAAGCTCCCAGCTCACCACTCAGTCAGTAGCTAGATGGCAGCAGCCCAGAAAAGGGAGTCAAAAAACATTCTTTCTCAGAAACTGGCTGAGAAAGCAGTGAAATGGATGCACATTTAAACTGAGAGCTGGAATTGTTACTCTGAAGCGTATGGAACTGAAGAATCACCAAAAATTTAGTGGCAGCCTCGGAAGTCCAAAACAAATTTAGTTACAAGTAACTACACTCAAGTCAATAGTTTCAACTTAGCAGCCTACAGCAGAGATTGGCAAATGTTTTCTATCCAGGGTCAGACAGAACATATTTTAGGCTTTGCAGGCCACATGGGCTTTGTCATAACTACTGAATTCTGCTCTTGTGGGGTAAAGTCAGTGACAGGCAACACACATACACACACACACACACACACACACACACACACACAGAGAGACACACAAGCAGATCTGACTCAATGGAGTAGTCTGCTTACCCTTGGCTTAGGGAAACACCACCTCCAGAGAGACAGGCAAATAAAATCTCTTTCTTACAATGATTTGCACTCTGCCTCCATCACCTACCATGGGGGTGGCCTCTAATTATCATACAGCTGGACACTTGCCAGACAGGGAAAACCTGTTTGATTTCACACTTGGGGAACCCCACAGCAACTGATACCACTAAGCAAGTTCCTTCACATACCTGTAAATGCTCAGACACACAATGGCCTCAAACAGCTCTGGTGCCAGCTGCCATCTGTGCACCAGACCCAGGGTGGTTAAATAGGGTAACGGAAGGCAACAGGGGGGAAGGGGAGTGTCAAATGTTCCAGTTTTTCTGCAGTTAAGGAAGCCAGTGGAGAATCAAATGACTTCTGCTGTGACAAAATGTATCAGGAAGTGGTAAGAATGTGGCCTTCTGCTCTCACTCTCTGTATTTTGTACCAAAGTACAACCGGGGAAAGCAATAAAAAAGCAACTCACTTAATAAAATTTAACCAGAGACTAGTGGAGGGGCTCAAGTGGTAAAATGCTTGCTGTCTAGCAAGCATAAGGCCCTGAGTTCAAGCCCCAGAACTGCCAAAAACAAAACAAATCCACCCCCTGCCAAAAAAAATCCAAAACCCCATCAGCTTTCAGAGAAAAGTATTTTTAAAAAAAAAAGAAGAACCGAAAAAGAAATCACTAGTTCTGAATTATGGATTACTAGGTATGGAAGGGATAATATAATACAAAACAAAGTTTTAGAGACGAGAAATTAAAACCCAGAATGGAGTGCTATGATCACACTATTCTGTGAGAAAAGGATTAAGATGCACCACATGTCTGGATACTAGTGTGTTGCCAATATACTACCCAACATCCCCCCCACGGGAGACAACTGTTCAGAAGTCTGCCACCAGACAGCACAGCCAGGCAACATCATACACAGCACAAGAGACCCCTATGCTTCCCCAACTCACGTCTTGTGAATGGTCTGGAAGAGCTGCTGGCCCTCTAGGGAGACACCAGCGCTGATTGCATAGGCCTGGCTCAGCTTCTCCTCCTTCTCTGTCCGTGCTTTGCTGGCAAGCTAATGTGGGGGAAAGGAAAGAGACTCAGAAAAGCAGTCACCTCATTCTTCCCAAAAGTCAGGACCTAAACTGAGGAAAAAGGTCAGAAAAGACCGGTCTGGACAGATTCAGTTTTATCAGAGATTCAAAGTGAAACAAACAAAATCCCTACAACATACTTCTATTTCCTGACAAATACCCTTTCTTTCCTTCCTATTCTTCCTGAGGGCCTCCCATGTACCAGACATATACTTATGCTAGGTTAGAGATTCCAGAGGGGGGTGGAAGAGACAAACTGTAAACATGTAAACAAAAAACATAAGACACAGAGAGAAAATAAAACAGGGTAAAGTTATAGAGTATGACTGGGAAGCTATATGATAGAGTGATGGTCAGAGATAAAAGGTAATGCATACATTTCTACTTAAGGAGAAAAAAAAACAATGTTTATCCACTACTGTACTAAAGCCTCAGGCTTAGAAATTAATGCACACCACACCTTCACAGACCACAACGTGAGGCTCTCAAGGCTCTGCCTGTCCGTCACCATTACCAGCGCTAACACGAGGAACCAGGACTCAAGGATACCTAAGCAAGGATACTGCCCACCTTCACCAAAGCTGCTCTTTAGAAAAAGGAGGAATCTGAACTCTACTATTTCTGTTCCTTCACTGCCCTCTGGTGGAACAATCACAAACTGATAAAAAAAATTCTAGTAAAATCTAAAAGTCTAGGAAATCCCTCCCAATAAGGGTGGGTACCCCATCAATCTGTGTCACTCCACCCCACACTATTGGTTGCTAGAGACTCCAGAAGAATGAGTTTGTCTAAATGTGAAATAAATGTGTGGACAAGGCGGTTAATACAAACAGAAAGGCAGATAATGTATCTGAAAAGCAAATGCATGATTTGGAAATTTTTCAGCCCCATGAACATGAACAGCTGAGTATAAATGAAACTGCAGCACAATAAGCACACATGCACAAACACACACATGAACATACAATCTTTCACCAAACATCAGCTCCATAAGTACAATGAAGGGTTATATCCTCCAGCATGTTCCAATAGTACCTAGATGCTTGGAATTCTTTAACATTTATATTCTGCTTTTATAGTGGTCCTTCAAACAATGAACCAAACAGTTCTATGGCAGGGAAAAGTAAAAAGTGTCTAATCCTTTGTTAGTAAAACAAAGCACTTTATTAAGGCTTGGGTTTGGCTAGAAAAGAGAAGGAAATCTTCAATACAGGAAACTGGGACAGCCTCATCGTTGTCTGACTTTCAAAGAGTACATCCTGAGGAAGGATGAGGGAATGAGTGCAGAATAGCCTATACATGTTATCATTTCAGCGTTCCTACATAAGAGCAGAAAGCTAGGCAAAACTGCAATAATTTGAAGCCAGAGCTCACCTGGTCTCCAAGACATGGAAAGACACAAATACAACAGCAGCATATAAATAATCTTTCAGGTCTGGCTGTCATTCTGGCCCCACTAGGCTACAAGTTTATACAGAAATAAACACACAGGGTTGGTAACACTCTGAGATGTGGCAATCCCTATGATGGCAAGAAAGCCTTATGGCTTGAAAACACTAAGTTTCTATGGAAAGAGAATTGCTGACTGTGTATTTTAAGCAACCAAACAATGCTTACTCAGGAACCAAGAAAACCCTGTTAACAAGGAGGAGTTTCCTTAAGTCTTGCTTTCCAATATCTGGAAAAAACTGGAGTCTCCAAGAAAAGGATAATCTAGAGGGCAGCAGAGCTCCTGGAAGCAGCTGGTAGCCAGACAGGTGTTCATCTCATAAACCAGTACTTTGAAGTGTCAATTCCTTTTAAAAATGTTTTTCCTTGGAAAACTCAATCTCCCAATGCTGGGTCAGACAAAGCTGTTTCCATAAAAGCTTATGGTGACTAGACAGTCTGAGTGTTCAAACAGTAAAATGTCCTTGTCACCTACATAGTAGTTGAAAAACAAAGCATCATCCCATTCAATAAGAGAGAAGAATTAGCTTAGGAAACCACACATATATGCAAAATGCTTAAGAATGGAACTGACAAATTAAGCTGGGGGAAAGGAGGGGGCGAGGGGGTAGGAGCTGAGAGAGAAGCCACTTTTGAATCTTTTGCCAGAGGCAGAATAAAACAATATAAATCTCAGCCAGAATGACTATTCAATTTAGATGGCCTCAGTAACAGTGACATACTAGCAATAGAAGAGTAACTTCAAAATGCACCCCCCTTGCCCTCTTAAACACAGTTATGCAATCTCCTCTGAAGGCTCTTAAAGCAAAGGAAAATGGACAAGGTAATTCTCCACTTCAACTCTATTATGACTAGATCTCAAAAGCTAAACAATGTAAGAGGGCACACTTAGAAAAGTCAGCAGAAATGAGTGTAAAATGGCTGTCTTGCTCATTCTCTTTTCTCCCCATGCCCCTTCTTTCTTTCCTTCTCTCCTTTGGTGGTGCTGGAGATTGAACCCAGGACCTTGCACAAACTAGGCAAGGGCTCTGACATTGAACCACACCCCGTGGTTGTATTTCAATTCAGTCCTAAAGTCCTCAACTACCCTACCTATACCTACTATTAGGCTTTAGGGATCTAGACTCGCTGCGAACACCAAATCCTCCAGCTGTCAGTGCGCAAGGATGTCTTTTCATGCAATCTGAAAAATGCTTCAATCTTACCAACAATGAGCTACAAGAAGCTGATTTCACCAGAAAGATGCACAAATACCGCAAAGTTCTCCCACAGACGACCCAACTAATTAAGCATGCAGAGACTGTTCCCATTAAAAAGAATCCAGAAGTGTTTCCTCTCCTCAAAATAGGGGTCACATGGACAGGGAGACTATCTCACTCTTTTTCAGGCATGAAAACTCACATAAAACATGGATAAGCCTTCTTTTGTAGAGCAAGTAATTATCACTCTACCCTCAACTTAGATGCTACACAAATCTAAGTTTTTTTGCTTTTTTTCTTTTTGTAAATGGTTGCATAGGATAAATGGTCCAGCTATTCCAAGTTAGCAAGATCATAGTTATTGTCAAAAGGCCAGAGAGAACCAATAAAAGCTGCCTTTAGTAGCAAAGATGTAAGGTATTCCTTTTAGGCTTCAGAGGGTCATTGGGATTATAATTTTTTAAATTCAATGACTATCACCCACACCACACCCATTTTCAATACTAGCATGCTAGCTGCTGGTCTCACTATCACTCAAAACTGAAACACTAGCTAGTTAGCATCTGAAAGGATAAAAGGCACCAAGTTTAAGAACACACTGGGTTCAGACAAACCAAGAAGCATAAACCTACAAATGTGTTACTAATGTGCATGTGGCTTAACTGAAATGACTGCACATGACAACCTGCACTTACCTGCCTCTCCTTTCATTTTGTATGATTCCCCGTGAAAACAAAGTCATTCCTTGTCTACTAACCAGTGCTTCCTCCTGGGGCCATTTTATATATAGCACCTTGATGTGGGCAAAGGAGAAAAGCACATGAACTTGATACCAAAGCACATCAATATTAAAAGGCTTCTAGTCATGCCCCTGCTGTTGGGTAACCCTTAAGTGAGTGACTGAATGAACACCAAGGGCACACATCTCTTTGTGCATTCAGTGACACAGATGGGAAGAGCAGGAACCACAACAACAAAATTCAAGCAATATGCACTTCATCTTGTTAGTCACCAGCTGAGCTGTCTTATTTCTACAAGCCCAGACCAGGAAAGCACAGGTGCTGTGGGGGAATTCAGAGGGATTCCTACTGCAAGCATTTAACAGGATGAGACAGCTGATACAACAAGGGAAGCAGAGCGTCCAGCAAGGAACCTGCTGGTATGATCTACTGACTCCAGCGAGCCACTCTCGGCTCCTCTTTTCTGTGTTTGTCTCCCAAATCAGCTGTCCTCACAAGAGGGGTTAGGAAATACTGCAGCTGCTGATGGGGGCCTGGTGTGAGCCAAGGAGTAGGAGACCACAATGGCTAAGGACAACTGTCATCCTAAGGAACCTTGTTATTCTTTTACTTTCTTTTGTTTTATGAGATAGGGTCTTGCTATATAAACCAGGCTTGTCTCCAACTTGCGATCCTCCTGTCTCAGTATCCTAAATGCTAGGATTACACTCCTAACTGGAAAGCCTTCATTATTAGCTAGCAGTGAACTGGCTCTCAAAAGAATTTCTTCCAAGCTGGGTGCTGCAGGCTCACATCTGTAATCCGAGCTACTTGGGACACTGAGATCAGGAGTATCACAATTCAAGAGACCCCATCTCCAAAATAATCAGAGCAAAATGGACTGGAGGTGTGGCTCAAGCAGTAAAATGCCTGCTTTGCAAGTGCAAAGCTCTGAGTTCAAACCCTAGTCCCACTTAAAAAAAAAAAAAAAAGCAAACAATAAAAGATTTCTTGTAATTATCACTATCTCCAAGTCTTCCTGTTCCTTAGCTAAAAGTTTCTTTCTTTTTTTTTTTTTTTTTATTGGTAGTGCTGGGGTTTGAACTCAGGGCCTCATACTTGTTAGGCAGGCACTCTACTACTTGAGCCACTCCACCAGCCCTGTATTTTCAAGACAGGGTCTCGAAAACTATTTGCCTGGGTTGCCTTCCTGATCTCTGCCTTCTGAGGAGTTAGGATTACAGGTGTGAGCCGCCAGCACCTAGCTGCTAAAAGTTCCTAATACTGTTCTGCCTAGCAAGCTTGAGGCCTGAGTCCAATCCCTAGTGCCACAATACTGTTCTAGGCCAGGTACAGTGGTTCCCACCTGTAGTCCCAGCTATTTGAGAGGTAGAGATAGGAGGATCACTTGAATCCAGGAGTTTGAAGCCAGCCTAAGCAACAAAGTGACTCTAAAAAACCACCACCAACACGACAAAAAAAAAAGACTGAGGTACCAAGCCAGCCTGGGCAAAAGGTTTGAAAGACTTTATCTCAACAAATGGCTGGGTACACTGATGTGGGTCTGTTATCCCAGCTGCTTGGGGAAGCACTAATAGGAGGATGGCAGTTCAG